TGAACTGCAACATGGGAGTAGCTAGGGGAAAAGTTCTAAAAAATATTTTTCCTAAGCTATTTAAAACTATAATTAACGGTCTATTTGAGCTACTCAATAAATATTAGTAGTTCAAGATACTACATTACCCATTTTTGGAAGAGGAGAGACAAGGAATAAAGATGGCTGCCAACGTTACAATATTTAAAATTGAGGCGGACCCGCCGCCTTTATCCGACAGCGACTTCAATCTAATCATAATAAAGAAACAGCACAACTGCTTCATACACTTCGATCCTCAAATTTTGTGATGTGCTTGGTAACTCTTCAAAAAGTGATGAGCTATACGAAGATGATCCCAGAAGTACCCGGTCTGACCTAGAGATGGCGATAGTTGTTTGAAAAATATCATTGTATTAGAAAGTATGCAACCTATAAAGCATATATCGAGCAAAAACAGTGTCGTGAAGATGTTTCAATTGAGTGTTTAGCGAAGTTTCAAAGCAACAAAGCAAATTTTTTGCGTCGTTTCATAACCATGGATGAAACACGGGTCCATCACTTCACATCTGAGACAAAAGAACAATCAAAACGATGGACTCAAAAGGGACAACCGGCTCCAAAGAAGGCGAAGACCGTTTCATCTACAGGCAAGGTTATGGCGTCGTTTTTTTGGGATGCGCGTGGGATAATTTTCATTGACTATCTTGAAAAAGATAAAACTATCAACGGCGAGTTTTATGCGAACTTATAGCAACTTTTGAGCGATGAAATCAAGCAAAAACGGCCGCATTTGGTTAAGAAGAAAGTGTTGTTCCATCAAGACAATGTACCAGCTCACAAATTCGTTATCGCAATATCCAAAATTAACGAAGTTTGAATTGCTACCTCATGCACCCTATTCACCAGATTTAGATCCCTCGGTTTATTTTCTGTTTCCAGACTTGAAAAAATAGCTCAGTGCTCAAAGATTTTCCAACGATGAAGAAGTGATGTCGGCAGTTAATGGCTATTTTGAGGAGCAAGACAGTTCTTATTATAAAAATGGTATCGAAATTATTGAACATTGCTGGGAAAAGTGTATAGAACTCAAAGGAGATTTTTTTACAACATTTTTGTATTTTCTTCATTGGGTCGGGTACTTCTGGGACCACCCTCGTATATTCATTGTAGCTATCTAAACAACTGCAATCAATCAACAGCATTCAGCCATGTGGACGGTGTTGTTAGTGCTATGCAACTTTTGAGGAATAAAACTGGCGACGAGTATCCCCGTCTCTATAAAAAAGCAAAGGCAAAGGCAGTTGAACATTCACTTATTTCAAAATAAATTTATTCATCCCATTCCTTAAACATACAATTCAGCAATTGACTGAAAGGTTTGAAGCACCGTACAGTGATATCAGTACTATCTGCTGTGTTGCCTACGAATTTTGCGGCCAATTCTGAAATCGAAGCTTAGATAAGTGCAATCAAAAACTATATCCAAAAATCTATACATTGCTACAAATTTTAGCTACCATACCTGTTTCCACTGTCACCCCAAAAAGGTCTTTTTCAAGCCTAAGGAGACTGGAAAAGTATACTAAGTGACATATAAATCCGAACACCCAGTTTAAATGGTTTTATTTTAATAAAAGTTGGTGAATGTATTTATCTTACTGTAAATAACAAGTGAAAAAATGTTCAGCCTTATCAGTTGGACATTCCGGTTTTTATACTGCTTTTTTTTTAGTTCACTAACGCTCTAAAAATGAATATTTCAGCCGCAGTAAAGAATCAACGTTGGCGGATTTTGGTTCTTGACATCCTTTACGATCGGTTACGATGCCTAGAGTACGGAGACCTGTACGATTTCGTCAACTCAGTGAGTTTTATAGGGGCCGTATAGTGGGACTTCGGGAAGCTGGACTTTCTTTTCGGGCAATTGCAGTTAAAGTGCAAAGAAGTGTAGACACTGTGGTTAGGTGTTGTCAGGCATGGCTTAGAGAAGGCCGTACGCAAAGAGCAAGGAGCAATGGACGCCGCCGTAGAACAACAGACCGTGAAGATCGCCGCCTAAGATTATTGGCCTTAAGGGACCGTTTCTCCACTACCAGGTCCATTGCAAATGAATGGTTTGCAGACCACGGAAGACCCATTGGCATGCGAAGTGTTTACCGACGAATGAGAAGTTTTGGCTTGTTTTCATACCGGCCACACTGGGTCCTCCCTTTAACTCGAGAACACCGACGTAATCGCCTTGAGTGGTGCAGACAACGGACACTCTGGGATCAGGAATGGAACAGTATTGTCTTTAGTGACGAGTCTCGATTTTGTTTAAGCATGCACGATGGTCGTGCCAGGGTTAGAAGGCGACGTGGTGAAAGGAGGAATCCACAGTTTTTTGTTGAAAGACATGTTCATCACACTGTTGGAGTTATGGTTTGGGGTGCTATACCTTATGGTTCCAGGTCACCTTTAATCTTCATCAGAGGTAACATGAACGCGCAGCGCTATATCCACGAAGTTCTAGAACCCAATCTTTTACCCAATCTTGACACCCTGGCAGATCCAACTTTCCAACAAGATAATGCCCGACCACATGTTGCAAGAGTCACAATAGACTTCTTTCAACATAATGATGTCACATTGTTACCATGGTCACCAAGATCTCTCGACTTATCCCCAATTGAGCACGTGTGGGGTATGATGGGTAGGAGATTGCTCAATTTGCAACGTCCTCCTCAGACTCTAGAAGCACTTCGAGAGGAGTTGGTGGTTGCCTGGAATAAGATACCACAGGAGGACATTGACCACCTGATCAGAAGCATGCCTAGGCGCGTTGGAGAATGCGTAGCACATCAGGGTGCATCCACACATTATTAAAGGTCAAAGGGCTTCATTAAGTACCTACTTATACAAAATTTTATTAAAATAAAACCATTTAAACTGGGTGTTCGGATTTATATGTCACTTAGTATATTTATTTGTACATTGAGTGAATGAATATTATCATTATTCTATATTTTGCTTGATACATTTTTCAAGCAATATTCATATTTTTTATTCCATACTTCTCACAAAGCATCTTCAAAAAATAATAATCGGTCAATAGGTCAATTCGAGATAATTCGGTGTATATCAAACGAAACTACTAGCGGGATAACTATAACTGGAAATCTCTACTAATTTATTCTCACTCTCATTGTCGTTTTCTTGTGGTCTGATGAATACGGATAATCTGTTCGTTATCTAACGGATTTCACAAGTTACAGCTTTTAAATAAAATCGATACTTCCTTCTTTGTTACAGTTTAGGTAATTAATCGGGAGTTTTATGCGTAATTGATTATTTACTTTTTGTAGGATTTAGATAACTGCATTATAATACTATTAAATAGGGCACCCAGAAATACAGTTAGCCTAAAATCTGATAGGTTGGAAGGTATTACCAAAGCTTTTAGAATCATAATATTTTGAGATGTCCGACTAATCGATACTGACGTTGAGTTCTTTTTATAGTCGGAATTACGAAAGATGGCGATTACGTCATCATTTTAGTTTGTAGTAAAGACAAACGACAGCGATTTGTGAATATTTTAAATGTAGTTTCAGATATGTTAGACAGAGACAAACAATTTTATTGTCTAAACAAACTGTATTGCTAATTGACATGTATCAATGATAGACGATCTTTTCATGTTGCATGATCGATCATATTTGAAAGATGAATAGTTAGGTTATGTTAAAGCAGGTTAGGTTATTTTCGAATAATCCTTAATTCCTGTAAGTATTCTACTTATAACTTTTTTTTTTTAATTAAAATCATCATTAAGGTATCATTTAAAACCATGAAATAAAATGAAAATAAAAATAATCACTGAAATAACCTAACTTCGCAAAATCATAATATAAATTTGTTGTTACTATGTTCCTGTCATCGTGATTTTATCATCGACGTACGACCATTGATTCCTTCGGTACAATTTATGATATGACGTAATAGTCATCTTTCGCGATTTTGACTATATGTGGGTGGGCTATTAAACTGAGCGGTTTTTAAAAAATCATAATAATAATCTTGAGGTATCCCGTATCCCCAGAGAAAAAAATCCAGTGGCCTGAGACTTGGGCTCCGGGGCGGCCAAGGAATTTACCCTCGTCGCGATATCATTTTTCCGCTAAACATTTCGTTTAAAACTGCTAAAGACTCTTTGGCGGTTATGCAGTTGTGGAAAGAAAAAGTTACGTAGCGTTGCTGTGTACCGATTAGAATCTACTGTTAGAGACTGGCCTTGCTTGTTTTCGAGGAAATAGGGTCCGATGATTCCTTCAGCCGACATTGCCGCCCAAACTGCGGTTTCAATTCCTGCTAGTTCAAGTTTATATGGGTGCAATTTGAGGTCTTTTACCAAAATACAGACGTCGCAACTTCGCTTACAATTTCCTCTGTTCGTATGGACCTTGGACGCCCCGCAGGTTTCTGATACAGGGTCGAAACGGTAGACTCGAACTTTCTGACCCACGACCTGATCACACTTTCACTAGGATATTGGTTTAGATCAACTCAGAGAGAAACAGACACCGCGCACGCTGCTCACCAGTGAAACGCTCCATGGCGACTAAATTTCCTAGGGCCAAGCTACCCGTGTCTCGCTCCCGCGTGCCTGTCACGATCAATGCGGTTTCTGGTCCACCCTGTATAAAAGGTATAGATTAACTACTCGAATTAATTTTGCCGCCGTTTTTAAACAAATCTGGGTGAGAATTACATCACGGTTTTGCGGCACGTGGAAAAACAACAATAGGAACAGTGAAAGCAGCTGATTTGACGCGTCCATCGCTGTTGCCGCTAAGCGGCGACCGCAGGATGCAATAATCTCCGACAGCCGGCAGATTTGTTAATCTGCGAGACAGTATCCGTAAGACCGAAAAACATGCAAATTGACTGATATAAAAGGTGTTTGCAGCGACGCCGGGGCCAGTAGTAAGCCTGACATTCGGTTCGCGCAGGTGGTCACAAGACACAGAACGCTCGTCATGAATCCGTACAGGGGACTATTTATAGTTGCCCTTGTGGCTTCGGCTGCGCTGATCTTGGTTTCGGAGGCAAGAGAAATAACCAGGAGAGAAGCAGCTGACGACCTCGTTGCTGCCGCGTCCGATAAAGGTCACGGACACCATTGGAAAAAAGGCGGAGGCAAAGAACACCATACCGAACACCACAGCAGCCATGGCGAAAAAGGAGACAAGGGATACAAAGGCCACCATCACCACGAGAAAGGCGAAAAGGGGCATCACGACAAAGAGGGACACAAAAAACATTACGAAGAACAAGGCGGACACAAAAAACAACATCACCACGACGACGGATACCACCACGAACACCACAAAGGCGAAAAAGGCGAGAAAGGTCACAAATACGGCGAAAAAGGCAGCTACAAGAAGGGACACAGTACAAAAGGAGGTCACGACGTGCACAAGCTCGACGAATACAAAAAAGAAAAACACTTCTACGACGAGGACCACGACAGCGGACACCACGAAAAGCGCGGCGGATTCCACCACGAGAGCGGATACAAGAAAGGCGGACACAAGAAGGGCGGACACCACCACGGCGGTCACCATGAGTCCCACCATGGCAAGAAGGGACACCACGAGAAAGGGGGACACCACCATCACGAGAAAGGACACAAGAAAGCTGGCGGACATGAAAGCCATCATCACCATGATGCGAAACATGGCAAGAAAGGTGGACACGAAGGACACAAAAAGTGGGGGTTCAAAAAAGGACATTAAGGACAGAAGCAAATACATTTGGTGCCTAAGGATGCCCAAGAAGGTTTGATGGCATATGCTTTTTGATGATAGAAGACACTGTAAAACGTGTACGTGTACGGAGAGTATTATGAGGTATTTGGAACTTGTTACAACTAAAGGAAGACGGTTAATGCTTTAAATCTTAGACCAAAGAAAACAATTTATCTTTAAACATGCAGGATGTCACTAATAGTAGGAAAAGTATTTTTATTTATTTTTTTGATATATTGCAGAAATCTTAATACTTATTTGAACAAAACTAACGACAACATAAATATATTATTTTAATCCCACATGCTTCTCTGGCCAATAAAACCACATGTATTGACAGATCTTTTTTTCAATAACATACGTGACCTGATTATATTGTCGTACTGAAAACCGCATTTGTGATTGAAACGTACAGTAAAGATCTGTCAATAAATTTAGTTCTATGGGCCATCAAGCATGGGAGATTATCGACGTGTAATCAGATGTTACATTTATTAATTTGTCTCCCCATTAGTCAGAAGTATACAAAAACATACGTGCTTCAACCCCATGTATCACAAATATGTTTAACAATTTCTCTAGTTGTTGGGTACTAAGTGGTATCCCGCATTACTTTTTCTATGTATAACTTGTATATTTCAGTTTTCATCTGTCTGACGTACAATGGAGTGAGTTATGAATCATTAGTGTTCAAATTCGGTTTTGTAACAAAAGACAAGACCGCTTTTTTATTCTTATATGCATCTGGCTTTAAGCGTAATTGTTTTCTTAGTTTTTGTAAATATTCTCTAGCTAATAAGAATTCAAATAAATCAAATTCTACTTAATGGTTACAGCAATACTCACTTTGGTCTGTATCTAGAAGAAAACCTCAATAGTAACATTATCATATTTTGTTGGTAGTCAGTCTCAACGTTACCCTTATTTGTTATTATTTATTGTTGACTGTCCATTGTTGACCATGTGATCTTGTGAATGCATACTTTTTGTAATTTTTATAAACAGTTAGTCATTACGTTAGTTTTTAGCTATTAAGTGTGCGCATGTAAAATAAATGATATTTTTTGCATTTTGATGCGTATTTTATTTGAATGTTTTTGAGTGGTAACAGTGACCGATAGGTAATTCCCAAGAGCGACCTCGATACCTACTTCACGAAGCAACCTAAAATTTCGACAGATGACTCTTAATCGCTAAATCACCCACAGTTCATCATCGAAAGTCTCGAAAGTGGAAGGTTCCTTAACGTATTCGAACCAGTTAGAAGTGCAACCAACAATACAAGAGTACATTAAAACGACTGTGGTGACTCCATCTCTCGGGAGCACCACGGAACAACCCTCTTGATCTGCCCATACACCTTAATCGTTATTAAGGTTGATTCTCACTATACATTCCGTTTCCATTCCGTAAATTATTGAAATTAAATATTCGCCTTCGCTTAAAGCAGGCTATTGCGTGTGTATGCACATTATCCGTAAGGTATACTGTGTATACAATCACATTGTATGGAACGTTTACGAAACTGATATGGAATGGAAACGGAATGTATAGTGAGAATCAACCTTTAATTGTTCCGTTCCTCGGCGATACCGGGTACTACAACCCTCAGCTATACTATAACTATCTAAAACTGTAATGACTCATCGATGTTCACGTGAACATCACTTAACTACCAGTAGTCGGCTGTTCATAGGCGGGATATGAATGTTTAACATGGGTGAACTAGATTTGTCACATGCTTAATAAAGAGTGGTTTGAAACAGATTGTAAGTCAAAAATTTTGGAATTACCTTTATTCATCGTCGCTTCCACTTACATCTGACAGTAATAAACTGTCGCTATCGCTTTCCTCGTTGAAATCGACTATAACTGGCTCTATGATGGTGTCGATGTGGTGGTCAAGCTGCCACATTTTTGTTTCTTCCTTCACAACGTGACGGATAGCATTCTGCCAAGCTTCGGGCGTTACTAGCTGTATGGAAGTCTCAAGTAAAACCTTAACGTCTGGTAATTTGAAGGTTGTGTTATGGCGCGCAATATAACCCTTCACTTGAGCAAAGATGAGCTCTATTGGGTTCAGTTCACAGTGGTAGGGCGGTAACCGCAGCACAGTGACACCACATTGACGGGCCATCTCATCAGTCACGTAACTAATGTTCGCAGGTTTGTGCTGTTTAATTTTTTCATACAATTCCGCTTTCACACATGAATCGTCAAACGGGATTCCTTTTTCGCGCAACCATTGCTGCGTGTCACTTTTTCGAGATCCCATAGTCGGTACACGTTCGGCTCGACGACTATGGTAGGAAGCATTATCCATGACGATCACAGAGTTGGGCTCAACTCGCGGAAGCACCCCTTGAAACCAGCTCTCGAAGCAGCTGGCATTCATTTCGTCATGGTAATCACCTCCTTTCTTAGAGACGAAAATCAAGTCACACTCTTCTAAAAAGCCACTATCGCTACCAATATGAGTTACGATCAATCTTTGACCTTTCCCTGACGGTCCACGAAGACCTGTTGACAAACCTTCAATGCTTGCTTGTCGGTTACTCGCTACGTTTTTGTCTATCCAGGTTTTTTTAACTGTGTGACCTGCATTTACCCATGTCTCGTCCAAATAATAGATTTTTCTGCTTTGTCGCCTATATTCAATCATTTCGCGTAGGTATTTTCGACGCCAGGCGACTATTTCAGGTCTCTCTATCAATACTGACTTCCGATTACGCGTTTCGTAACGAAAATTAATTTCGTGCAGGGAATTTTCCTCATTACCTCGATGCTCATTTGGGGTATAATTTCATTTTCCTTGATCGCTGCATGTACAGCCTTGAGGGTTGGTATCTCATTCCTAAAGAAGAATGAATGTACGGTTCGCCTTAACGCTATTTTGCTATCGTCATCCAATTTAACGGCCTTTCGTCCCTTCAAATTAAACTTTGGATCAGTAATAGCTCCAGTTTTCTTCTTTTCATGCACCACCCTGCGAATGGTCCACTCTGGAACGCCTGTCATACTTTCACAACGCGCGAGTGCATCTCCTTGCGACATAGTTCTGTTCAGATAATTGAACACGATTTCTTTCGCGTCCCTCTTCAGTGCTTTACGAAGCCGTCTACTTGTTCCCTGGCTTTCAGTACTTCCACTCGTGCCATTTGTACTCTCCATGGTTAAGTATAACCAAAACAGTAACCACAGAAACCACAACAATAACAATCACACAACAATTCTTATAAAAACACACAATGTGCGATCGCTCAACGAAACACGTTCCAATGCGTTGCCGACGCCTATGAGTCTGCCGGTCGAGGCGCGTCTTTGATTTCATTGGTTCTACCGGCGGAGAACAATCAGCCATTATTTCCATCTCTGTCTGTGCTGTTGACCACCGCAAAGCCACAGAGACGACATATGTCGTACGCCATACGGCTGTACTGGAAGGAAGCCGGGATCGAGCTCTGATCACGTATTGATCACGCGTATGAGTCATTACAGTTTTAAATAGGTGTAGTATAGTTCCGTGTTGATCCCGCCACGAGGCTTGTTCAATACGTACCCATTGTTTGACGACAGAGGGCGTTCCTGAGGGATATTGGTGTGCTGCACTCTATCAAATGGCGGCTCAACAAATTTCAGACTGATGGATGGGTTAGTTTGGATTTGGCAGCCATTCGAATAACACGTGTTTCGTGATTTTCGCTAAGATGGAAAAATAGCAGTATCGTTCGGTAATTCGCTTTTTGTTTTTGGGTGGGATAAAATGCGCGGAGATAAAAGCAAAGTTGGATGCTGTTTATGGGGACGCTTCGCCATCTATGACCACAGTTACATATTGGTCCAACGAGTTTAAACGTGGGCGAACATCCGTTTTTGATGAGGCGCGACCAGGACGTGGTTACCACAAAGTCCACGACATGATTCTCGCTGATCGACGAACGAAAGTGCGCGAAGTAGCAGACGACGTAGGTGTGTCGCCTGGAATTTCAATCGATATTTTACATGATAAGTTGGAGATGAAAACATGATTTCTCCCGGTGAATCAGCTCCAAAGAAGGTGAAGACGGTCCCATGGCGGCGATTTTTTGGGACGCGAACGGCGTCAATCTCATGGATTTTTTAGAGAATGGAACGTTCACTCACTACAGTGGGTTATTGGATCGCTTCGACAAAAAATTGAAGCAGACAAGTCCACATTTGGCGAAAAAGAAGGTGCTGTTTCACCACGATAACGCACCAGCACATTCATCCGGAGTTGTCGCCGCCAAAATGCATGAATTGCGTTATGAAGTGCTGCCGCACCCTCCGTATTCACCCGATCTGGCCCCCTGCGACTTTTTCTTGTTCCCTAACATGAAGAAATGGCTCGCGGGAAAAGAATTTTTTGGAGGGATTAAATAAACGACAGCAACGTTGGGAAAAGTGTATCTTTCTAATAGGAGACTATCTTAAGTAATTTTTTTTTTTCGATAAAATGGTGTCTTCATTTCTAACACGGGTACTTATTATAATGGGTTGTCCAAAACGGACGCAGGAAAGTAAACGCATATTAAAACAAGAAAGATTGATATTCAAATCAAGTTGGGTACTTTATTTTGAAGGTTCATTTATACCATTTATGTATGAAAAATAATATCGCTCAAATGTTCACCACGACTGGATTTACAGACGTCCACGCGATGGTCGAAATTTTCAATGACATTTTGCAACATGCTCGGTTCTATGGCATTTATCTCGACAATGATGTTGTTTTTGAGTTCTTGGAGGGTGGCTGGTTTGTTGACGTAGACTTTGCTTTTCAAATATCCCCATAAAAAGAAGTCCAAGGGAGTCAAATCGCACGATCTTGGTGGCCATGGCACATTTCCTCTGCGCGAAATCACGCGATCACCGAAGGACTGCAATCGATGGATATTGACGTTGGTTGTGTGGCATGTTGCACCGTCTTGTTGGAAATAAACATCGTCCATATAAATTCCTTCAAGTTGCGGCAAAAAATAGTCCTCCATCATCACGTGATATCGCTCAGAATTGACGGTCACTGCGTCCCCGGCCGCATTTTCGAAAAAGTAAGGTCCGATGATGCCTTTTGACCACAATGCACACCACACAGTCACTTTTTGAGGATGCATCGGCTGCTCTTGATACTCACGGGGATTTTCGTTCGCCCAGATGCGGCAGTTTTGCTTGTTTACCGTCCCATTCAAAGTGAAATGCGCTTCGTCGCTGAACATGATTTTTGATGAAAAATTGGCATCAATTTGCCGGTGTTCAAGGAGCCAATCTGAGAACGTTCGGCGCGAAAAATGGTCGGTCCGACGCAGCTCTTGCGTCAATTGGATCTTGTAGGCGTGTACATTCAAATCCTTGTGGAGAATGCGGAGCAAACTGGTTCTCGAAATGCCCAATTCTTGGGATCGACGCGTTGTTGATTGTTTCGAATCGTCTCTCACACTCTCCTTCACAACAGCAATATTTTCCGGTGTGCGAACGCTCCTTGGCCGGCCAGAGCCTGGCAGATTTGCCACAGAACCTGTTGCCTCGAATTTACGCACCAGACGACCGATGGTTGTTTCGTTTGGGCGGGCTGTTGCGACCGAAATGTTCACGAAGCGCGCGAAACGTGTTTTTTATTTTTGCACCATTTTTGTAGTGCTCTTGAATCACTTTAATGCGGTCTTCAATCGAATACGACTCCATAGCGATCAATGGTAAACATTCAACTAACAAAATGACATGTCGGTGACAGAAAACAAAGATGGCGTCTATGTCAAATTGACGTTTACTTTCCTGCGTCCCTATTGGACAACCCTTTATAAACCGTCTACCTTTTACCGAAATCACAACCAACCGACACACTAAAAGGACCTAACGTCCCGCCTGGCTTAAAACTTCTCGCTGTATTCCGCCATATGACACGGTACAATACCTTTCTAGGGATTTTTAGTGTCCCACGCCTACTGGCGAGAAAGTATTGTAATTGAGAAAAATTTCGAAAATTTAGGTATTATGTTATATGGTTATATAGTTGTTTCAATTATAGGGTTCCCACATTTTTTTTCAAACAAAGGGAATTTTTCATTTTAAAACACGAATTCACCATTGTGAACGTTGATCTTTGAGCTTTTTTCCTACGCATTTTTTTAGACGTGTAATCCTCATACGCTGGGACAATGTACTGTCCAGCTTTATCTGGACCTGCCTATTCTTAAGCTAGTCGATGTGAATATGGGCCCAATAACACTGAGGCCAAGATGATATGGATGAAAATAAAATAGGTACTATGTACAATAAACATTTAATATCCATAAAAATAAGTAGCGAAACAAACAGAAATGTATAAAGTCCAACAACAAAAGTTATCCAGCAGTATACAACATGGAAAACAGACCCTTTTTTAGACCTACAGTATTAATAAAATGACCAATTCACTGTACTATTATAATGCATATGGCAACTGGATGTCATACAGGTAACTACTTCTCCTTTTTCACTATCAGAGGGCCAACATTGTCTCCTGTCTGCTTATTGTGGTCATTGTGGGACCCATCACAGTATGGCCACTGGAAACAAGAACATTTACCAATAAAATGAACCAAGCATATTTATGTGTTTTATATTTGAAAGTAATTTTAAGTAAAAAAAAAACAAAATTGGGGCTACATTAGCAATCTCTACAAATATTTTTGTTGGTATACGACAAGGTAGTAAACTAAGTCCATTACTATTTATTTCATACATTAATGACACTATTGTAAGTTGAAAATGACTCTGCTTTAATAATGCTAAATGCTGACTTGGCAAAAATTATAAATTGGTTAAATGTAAATAAACCAAATTGAATGCTGTTAAAACAAAATGTATACAAATAAGAAAATACCTAAATGACAATTGACAAAAACAAATTATACTAAGTGACATATAAATCCGAACACCCAGTTTAAATGGTTTTATTTTAATAAAATTTTGTATAAGTACTTAATGAAGCATAATAAGTAAATGATAAAAATTTTAAAATGATTGCACTGCTTTAAAGCCCTTTGACCTTTAATAATGTGTGGATGCACCCTGATGTGCTACGCATTCTCCAACGCGCCTAGGCATGCTTCTGATCAGGTGGTCAATGTCCTCCTGTGGTATCTCATTCCAGGCAACCACCAACTCCTCTCGAAGTGCTTCTAGAGTCTGAGGAGGACGTTGCAAATTGAGCAATCTCCTACCCATCATATCCCACACGTGCTCAATTGGGGATAAGTCGGGAGATCTTGGTGGCCATGGTAACAATGTGACATCATTATGTTGAAAGAAGTCTATTGTGACTCTTGCAACATGTGGTCGGGCATTATCTTGTTGGAAAGTTGGATCTGCCAGGGTGTCAAGATAGGGTAAAAGATGGGGTTCTAGAACTTCGTGGATATAACGCTGCGCGTTCATGTTACCTCTGATGAAGATTAAAGGTGACCTGGAACCATAAGCTATAGCACCCCAAACCATAACTCCAACAGTGTGATGAACATGTCTTTCAACAAAAAACTGTGGATTCCTCCTTTCACCACGTCGCCTTCTAACCCTGGCACGACCATCGTGCATGCCTAAACAAAATCGAGACTCGTCACTAAAGACAATACTGTTCCATTCCTGATCCCAGAGTGACCGTTGTCTGCACCACTCAAGGCGATTACGTCGGTGTTCTCGAGTTAAAGGGAGGACCCAGTGTGGCCGGTATGAAAACAAGCCAAAACTTCTCATTCGTCGGTAAACACTTCGCATGCCAATAGGTCTTCCGTGTTCTGCAAACCATTCATTTGCAATGGACCTGGTAGTGGAGAAACGGTCCCTTAAGGCCAATCATCTTAGGCGCCGATCTGCACGGTCTGTTGTTCTACGGCGACGTCCAGTGCCCCTTGCTCTTTGCGTACGGCCTTCTCGAAGCCATGCCTGACAACACCTAACCACAGTGTCTACACTTCTTTGCACTCTAACTGCAATTGCCCGAAAAGAAAGTCCAGCTTCCCGAAGTCCCACTATACGGCCCCTATCAAACTCACTAAGTTGACGAAATCGTACAGGTCTCCGTACTCTAGGCATCGTAACCGATCGTAAAGGATGTCAAGAACCAAAATCCGCCAACGTTGATTCTTTACTGCGGCTGAATTATTCATTTTTGGAGCGTTAGTGAATTAAAAAAAGCAGTATAAAAACCGGAATGTCCAACTGATGAGGCTGAAAATTTTTTCACTTGTTATTTACAGTAAGATAAATACATTCACCAACTTTTTTTGAAATAAAACCATTTAAACTGGGTGTTCGGATTTATATGTCACTTAGTATATATTTGAAAGTAATTTTATGTAAAAAAAAAAACAAAATTGGGTCTACATTATCAATCTCAAAAAATATTTCTGTTGGTATACCACAAGGTAGTAAACTAGGTCCATTACTATTTATTTTATACATTAATGACACTATTGTAAGTTGAAAATGACTCTGCTTTAATAATGCTAAATGCTGTCTTGGCAAAAATTATAAATTAGTTAAATGTAAATAAACCAAATTGAATGCTGTTAAAACAAAATGTATACAAATAAGGAAATACCTAAATGCAAATTTACAAAAACAAATTACTTTTATAAGGTTTCTCATAGTCTTAGTATATATTCCAAAAAAATCGTTTATAATACAATTATTCCACCACATTTACTATAATGTTCAACTATCTTGTTCAGTGTATTCTCAAAATTGCAAGTCCTGCAAAATAAAGCTAAGAAAGTAATATCGAATAAAAATAAATACACCAAAATAAAATCTGTTTCAAGAATTGCAGCGATTGAATGTAAAAATTTCATATCATATTTGGTTCTTATTTTTATATTTATAATGAAAAATCATCTTTTGCCTCAACATTTAGAACTCTATACAGGGTGTTTGGTACATGAACCATTTTGGGTGGTTGGGGATGCTATTTGATGATTTCTGATGGAAATCGCAATGCTAAAGGGTTACGGTTACCGAGATATGATCGTTTTCCGTTTTTTTGCTGAATCCAGCTTGATATTTAGTTAAAACTTTTTTCCCTCGATGATCTGTTAGTAAATAATTTCTTCAAAAACTTTTTCAACATCTGGCAAAACATTTATCGGCCGCATATTGATGTACAACTCAGAATTCACAAGTTTCGAAACTAGAGTTATGGTAGAACACTTCAGTTTCGTTGGAAATTCACCATACTTTAAACAGTAATTCATCAATGCAGATATAGGAAATACCGCCACAACATAGAAGCATTTTTCTTCTTTTCTCGACATTGAGGCAATGTTGCTGCTGTTAAAGGGATGTGGTTGTGAGTCAGGATCTGTCTTCATTTGCTATCCTTGTCACAATGGAAAGGAAAGACAAAAAAGAAAAAGAGTATGTTCAATAAGCAGACCAAAACCACTTAGACGATGAGCACCTCTAATCATACAGCTAAGTTTGTTTAACTTCGCACAAATCAAATTGGCATACTTACGTTCTTACTGCGCCAGCACCTACACAACACAGCCTTTTCTGAGATGTCCTCTACATCGATCGTGTCAACAACTTTAGCTTGACTTTTTAGCACACTAACGTTGACCTTGGAAGCTCCAGCGCACCCCTTGTGCGCTTCCGGGCAAAACGCCCTATACGATATGTATGTCACTCCCGCCAACAAAGCAGTAGGAGGGATCAGGGCTGCCCAGTCTTTGACTGAAAAGCATCAATACATAAGAAACAATGACATACAAATCGTCTATCTTATACCTATTCAATAAACATTCTTTTTAACGAGTATTTCTGCCTCCCCATTTAGGAACTGAACTTCAAGTCCTTATACAAAGATCAGTAATTACACAGATGTAACATTATCGTTGCTTTAGCTGAGTATCATCTTATGATCATTTTCAAGAATAGCTTTTAAAACATTATATACTCATTAAAAACAATTAATTTCAAATATATAATGACCTTGATTTGAAAAATTGGGAAACTACTGCATAGGTGAGAACATACTTGTTACTACAAGGACGTAGAGCATGCAAGCAATTACGTAAATATGAACGAAGATATAAAAAAGTGGAAAAACTTACTTCCTAACCTAAACCATCCTCCAACTGTATCAGGTATTGGTAAGCTTGCTAGATACTCAGGAAGGCTAACTTTAACTAAATGAGCTAATGGCTGCATGTTCAAGAGCTGGATTCACAGAATTTTAATGATTAGTCAACAAGCCTTAAATATTTTTGAAAAAGTAAGTTCAAAATCAACTCAAAGCTAAAATCCTGCACAGAACACTCACAACTCAGAACAGACAGAGATAACGAGACACAAGAAAACGTAAAACATAAATCAAATCCAAGCGAATAACCAAAATTTCTAGTGATGGGATCATTCGAATGAAAAATAATCGGTCATTCGATTATCAAAATCATTCGAGATATCTCGAATACTTCAACCAAATGATTCGAATGATAATTCACTCTTCAATCAAATGTGTGACCGCTCGAAACAAAATAAAACCGATGCTGCCGCTGCGCGTCTCGCACCAGATGTCTCGAGCGATCATTCGTGAATCATCTTTCGCATGCAGCAACGCGTGAGCAGTGAGCCCAGCCGTATCTATGAAATAATTGGCGGTCTGGCCCGAAAAGTGGTAGGCAGGGCCGGCGTTAGGAACATAGGTGTAACATAGAGTACATAGACTGTTAAGAATCAAAATATATAAATAAATGTGTAGTGTGAAAACAAAAAACTATTACTATGCATTATTGTCTAACATACGTGAGTTCTATGTTAAATGATTTCCGAGCGCACGAAAAAAAGTGGGAGGGGGGGCGGCAGAATTGGGCTTGCCCGTGACGTCAAAAGTCTTAGCGCCGGCCCTGGTGGTAGGTATATTTCGACAATTTCGACTGAAATAGGAAGAGCTACCAAAAAAATGCGCTTGAGAATTTATGTTGTCGCATCGTAATTTTATTATTATGTGTGGTAATATAATCGAATCACAAATCTAAATTTTCAAGCGCATTCTTTTGATAGCTCTTTCTATTTCGATCGAACTATTTTTTTTATTAGTTGGGAATAACAATATAGGGTGCCTTAGCAGATTTCTCTCAATAGTTTTTTTAACGTATATTATGTGCCAAGTGGCGAAAGTTTATTTCAATTTTATGCATATTAGTTTATCTGATTATTAATTATATTTATAACAGCAGTAATTTATATTGATTTGATAATTTCATATTCTATCTTGGTGTTAAAACTTAAAACCTCAAACTCAATACATGATTGGAATTGAGCATTCATTACCTATAACTTTATTCCTTGCAACAAAATATGTAATAATAATAATAATAAATCTGCTTGGAAATATGTAACATAATAACAGAAAAATAAAACTAATGTTAACAAAAAGTTTATTTAACTTTGGTTTAAAACTGGAAAAATAAACATTTATTCCTAAAACAAACTTATTGTTCTGAACAGTAAAATAAAACTTAATTACATTTCTTAAACTTTGATTTAAAACTGCAAACATAATATATTATTATATAGGTTAATTTCTAAAACAAAATATTAGAATAATAATAAAATAAAATAATAAAATTAAACTTCATGACATAACAAAATATTTGTACCATACAAACATAAACTCTGAATTAATAATACTAGTCTAAATTAGAACTATTTAAAAAAATTATTTGGTCTAAGTTTTTTGGAGATAGGCGATTTCGTCTTAAGTTGGTTAGTTGTCCACATTTCGAAAATATCCTCTCCGAGGGTACAGATGTACCAGGAACTGTTAAATATTTAAGTGCAAGCTCATAGAGCTCAGGCATACTTTGTTTGTGTGCTTTCCAAAATTCTAATGGATTTTCTTTTCGATTTACAAAAGGCAGTTCCAAGTATTGACGAATTATTAAGGTAGCAACAGTAGTAGGGGTAACTGTCGACTTCACTGTAGATAACCTTGTGTCAAAATTTAACCAAACTCCGAAATCATTGTCTTTGGATGGATTTTGATTACTTAAGTCATCTTCCTGTCTATTTTCCTCCAAGTCATTTATATTTAGTTCATTTTTCTTTCTTATCAGTTGGACCAGTTCTTCAAACACCCATTTCTGAGCATTAGAAGAATTCGTTTCGTTCCCGAATCCCAACTTTTTGAACCTTGGGTCCAAAAATGAACACTTCGCGACAGTCTTATTTACTTCAAGAATTCCAAGACGACGTGAAATAATATCTACTAAATCATTTTTTAAAAGAGTGCAGACCTCATTTTCAGTACTGAAACGTACTAGCGCATGCTGCAATCCTCTTATGAGTGGTATTATTGAAGACATTGTAGGGTACTTTTCGCCAGATAGGATTGTGGTGATAACCTCCACTGGCTTCAAAATAGGAATTAAATCTTTTATTATAGTCCATTCTTGAGCATCTAAAAATTCTGGAGCACTGGAAATACTGGTAATAGTAATACTCAAGGAATCTTTTATCACCAATAATCTTTCCAGCATTACTAGACAAGAATTCCATCTTGTAGGAACATCTTGCTTCACTTTAAGAACAGGAAGCCCCATCTGCTCTTGCACCGCTTTCAATTTATTAGAAGCATTGTTGCTGTGTTTAAAATGTCCAACAATACTCCTACATTTTTTTAGTATCGCGCTTAATAAGGGCTTTCCATTAAGTGCCTCATTTACACTCAAATTAAGAGTGTGGGCCACACATGGATGGTGATGTTTGTTCAGTATTTGCACTGCAGTTTTTATGTTTGCAGCATTATCTGAAACAATTGTAGACACCTTTTCAAATATGTCCCATTCTTGCAAAACTTCTTTTACGGATAATGCTAGATTTTCTCCTGTATGAGAATGTAGCATTTCCCTTGTAGCTAAAGCATTGGAATGCATTTTGTCACTATATATAAAATGGCAAGTAATAGTGATATATGATTTATTACTATCTGAACTCCAACAGTCCGTAGTGATTGCAATATTATTTGTTTCGCGCAACATATTTTTTAATTTTAATTTTTCTCTTTCGTATAATTGTGGGATAAGCATGCTTGAAAGCTTTTTCCTACTCGGCAAATTATATAATGGTTGAAGCCTTTTAGAATATTCAATAAAGCCTTCGTCTTCGACAATAGATAAAGGCTGATAGTCTTTTACTATCATTTTTACAAGGGCATTATCTATTTCAATTATGTCCACGTCAGTCAATTCATTGGTTTTAGCGCCAAATAATTTTAATTGCTTTCTTCGCTTTAGGGGTGGAGGATGGAATGTTGAGTCATTCGATGAACCCGTTCGATTTTCTCCTATTATTTCATCGGTTTTACTTGATGGACCAGCTTCATCTTCTTTGTGCTTGAATGAATTCACTTTTTGGTCATTATTGTCTAAATCCTTGTCGTTATTGGGTGGTTCATTTGCTAATAATTGAGTTGCATGCAATCGCTTCAAATGTTGATTCAAATTTGTAGTATTCCCAAAAAATTTTAGTTCTTTTTTGCAAATATTGCATTGCACAAAATTTGTGTTGGAAGATTTTTTAAAATATTCCCAAACGACGGATTTTTTAGCACCAGGTCTCATAATTCTATCAGGCATGGGCAAATTATAATAAATCGGTATTTAACGAATTTGATTTACGCTGTGGCTAGAGTCCCGGTACCGGTAACAAAATTATTCCCGGTAGAATTGTTGCAATTAAAACATAATAATAAAAAGTACAATTATTTTTTCACAGAAAAACTTACACTTAGATTTATTTTAAGGCACTGGATATTCGTCCGTACATGTGCGGTCGATGTGACGTTTTGTTTAAACGGCCGCACATTCGATATTCTTGCCTAAGTTCGATCAGGTGAATGGTTTATTGAAATGTTAGTACATATTGAAATATTATTAAAACCTCTAAAGAAAGCGCTAACCTAACCGGACGATTAATTTATTTTAAGCAGTGCAAATTAAAACATGTACGGCCGTTTAAACAAAACGTCACGTCGACCGCACATGTACGGACGAATATACACTACCTTATTTTAATTTACCCAAGCCTGATAAAGTTAGTATTAAACAAAACAGACAAGACGAACGTAAATCACCCGCAAAAGAAAAACACCACTGAGCGAAACACCACCCGTCACGTCACGAAGTTCGAAAACAACTAAAACAAAATCATTCATCAGTGTTGCCACAGCGTTGTGGCCAAATTACTTGCAAGTACCAGACAGTTTTACTTGCAATTCCTTGCAAATACCTGACAGTTTACTTGCAATTACTGGCAAAGTTCAATGTTTTTATTCGTTTAGTTATGACAGGTATTCGAATCTCCTTCAGGTCTAATTCTACCGATTCTACCGCTGAATGAATTTTTGGTGAACCTGTGCTATGACTTCTCATACCTCCAAACACAACCTCCAATTCCGAGTGACGAGTGTTCCGCAAAAATAGATGTATATCTACCGACTGATTGATTCACGATGAGTATTCATATTTCAGTCAGTACGGCCATTTTTACTCCTCAGTGCTCTGCTAAGACTCAAGACTGCTGCGGCTTGACAGTCACAGCGGCTTTATGGTCCCGAGAAAAATGACAGATAACAGAAGCACCTACTTAGTGATCATGCGTTCTATCCCGATTTGTTTTTTCACTTCAGCTGGCTCGGCTCCATGTTCTAGGTTGAATCCCGCACGCCGTATCATAGAATGTTATGCTAATATGGCAACTGTTACGAATGTTTTAATCCATAAAATATGAACATCGCATCAATTACTTGCAAATTCCTCCAGAGCACCCATTCCTTGCAAGTTTACTTGCAAAGCTCCTCATTCCTTGCAAATGCAAGTAATTACTGGCAAAGCGGCAACACTGCAATCGTTGTTCAAATCGCTCGCGGCGTCGCGGCAGCGAGAAACGAGAATCAGAAATCAGAACTGCTGACTGAACGATGTTTACAACATGTGAATGATCATTCGAGTGATATATCGATTCTTAAAATCATTCGAATACTAACTATCCGATTATTAGAATCATTCGATTCTGCCCATAGCTAAAAATTTCTGTGTTATGTGCCGTGGTTATGATATGGTTCAAGTTGACACATGGGTTGATGACGTCAGTTACACGAATCGCTTGAACGCGTTGGTTTTAACCGCGGTTTTGATGCAAGTTGTTTATTTTAGAAAAGCGCGTATATATAATCTCTGATTATTTTTATTACCACTTAATAATCGGTGCTTTTTCGTCTACAACTGTATATGGAAAGTTTAAATGAGAAACCTTTCATAATATCCATGGGAGAAATGTTTTTTTCAGATTTTTTTTAATGATGGAACCATGGCTTTGTAGCTATAATAACTTTCAATTCTCGAAATTTTTCCGCATGTCAAAGAAAACATTTATTGATTCAGCAGAAATGATGAAAAAAGAAATTAGCAAAACCGTATACAGGTGGATATCATCTAGTGAGTTTATATGGCCATATTTTAATATTCTTGTGGTATATGGATACTTTGTTAAGCATAGGAACTACATTTAAAGTGTCCCAAACAACCGTAATGAGTATAACTAATAAGGTGCTCCACTTTATGGTAAAACTGAAGTCAGCCTGAATCATTTTTCTCAAAAATGAAGCTGAAGTACAATAACAATATCCAATACCCGGCAAAATTCTAACTTGTCACATTTCAAATAATAACCAGAAATATAAAACTACTCTTGAGTTGGTAAATACCACAATTTTGCGGTGATAACTATGACATATAACAGCTGATTCGTGACGTCACGGATCTTATAACCAAACTGATAACTACACTCGCTTGAACGGATTGGTAAATACCAACCCAAAATGGTAAATACCATTTCCATTTGGTTATCCGCTTGAAATTGATTAAGAAAACGTAAAACATACACGTCACGTAGAAAGGCGGACTTGCAGACAGCCCACTGACATCACATGACAGATAGCTTACTATCGTGTCGATGGTGTGAATACCAAATATCGAGTGTTCGATAGATTATAAATGCGGGGAAACACCGAGAAAAACTTCAGGTAAAACGCGAGAACCGAATATAATTTCAGAAGGTAGGATTCTGAATGAATTCAACACTCCACATTTCCACGTCACTAAAAGATAAATCCCCGCAGTTGATGTTGCCCGGTATCGCGTTTTTTAATCGAGCACGTTATGTGATTACGGTAATCACCAGGCAACAACGTAAAATATCCGCGTTGAGAGAGTTGCCATATTCGGGGATTTTTTCTCGAATTTGGGGGATAAAATATTCCGAGGGATTTTTGTGGGGAAAAATAAAATCGCTGGGTATTTTGGGGTGTATTAATCCATTTTTAACTACGAAGAATTGTCCTCTGCTTAATAACAATGTTATCTTTGTGCAGCTTTTTCTTTTCCCATGTCGCACCGATCTCTACAAAACATCTACGCTGACCCATCTCTACATTTTTATGTGAATTGTAGATTGGTAGACATGCATCTATAGTCATAGAACACAGAAAAATAGCAGAATAATAAGTTGTACGTTGGCTGGTTGACGTAGCTATCTATAATCAAATTCAAGCGGATAACCAAATGGAAATGGTATTTACCATTTTGGGTTGGTATTTACCAATCCGTTCAAGCGAGTGTAGTTATCAGTTTGGTTATAAGGTCCGTGACGTCACGAATCAGCTGTTATATGTCATAGTTATCACCGCAAAATTGTGGTATTTACCCAACTCAAGAGTAGTTTTGTATTTCTGGTTATTATTTGAAATGTGACAAGTTAGAATTTTGCCGGGTATTGGATATTGTTATTGTACTTCAGCTTCATTTTTGAGAAAAATGATACAGGCTGACTTCAGTTTTACCATAAAGTGGAGCAATGTAGTTCCTATGCTTAACAAAGTATCTTGTGTAGCCATATACCACAAGAATATTAAAATATGGCCATATAAACTCACTAGATGATATCCACCTGTATACGGTTTTGCTAATTTCTTTTTTCATCATTTCTGCTGAATCAATAAATGTTTTCTTTGACATGCGGAAAAATTTAGAGAATTGAAAGTTATCATAGCCACAAAGCCATGGTTCCATCATTAAAAAAAAACTGAAAAAAACATTTCTCCCATGAATATTATGAAAGGTTTCTTATTTAAACTTTCCATATACAGTTGTAGACGAAAAAGCACCGATTATTAAGTGATAATAAAAATAATCAGAGATTATATACGCGCTTTTCTAAAATAAACAACTTGCAACAAAACCGCGGTTAAAACCAACGCGTTCAAGCGATTCGTGTAACTGACGTCATCAACCCGTGTGTCATCTTGAACCATATTATAACCGCGACACATAACACAGAAATTTTGGTTATTCGCTTGGATTTGATTTATGTCTCACACGCGTGTTTAGGACTAGACGATTCCTCGGCTTCTCCGCGATTTTGCACGGATTTGTTCGTACTGTAGATCCGGCAGAGAGATCCGGGGATCCACAAATTACCGCATTAAAAGTATGCTGTAATTTGTGCAGGGTTCTGTGATTTCCCAATCCTCTAATCAAGTGATAGCGACTGCGCTTATCGTTTTACGTTTATGTGCAATCGTGGTTCAAGAAACAAGTTGGTCTGACAAGTTTACAAGTTTAAAAACTAGTCCCAATTTGTTGGAAAATAATTACTTTTTATTTTATACCCTCCGCCCCCCCCCCAACAATAGCCAATTAAAACAAAAACTATGGTTAAATGAATTGTTGCCCATATTTGCTATTAGTGTTTGGATCGAATATTTTTCGATATAGCCGGTATTATTTTTCACACACTATGTAGTAAATTATTGATAAAATCCTGGCAAAAATCAGATACTCTGTAAAATGTCAACATTATGGTGTCAAAATCAATGAATTCAATTCGCTTAGTTTAGCGCAGTAGTTCAGTGAATGAAACCCTAGTCACGGTCAAAAGTATTAATACATACAGAAAGTATTGGTAAATACGAGCAGAATAGGTGAGCCGAAAATAAAGGTAAATATATTGCGCTTTCAGTTCTACTAGCTTTCCTCAAGGATACATACCAGAACTATCATCAACAGCACATAAGTTCCCAATGATCTGCAAAAGCATTGCAAACTCGGAAATGGTTCGTAATTTTAATTTCTACAGACCGAACAATTTGCAAATATATATCGAACGCATCACTCACATTTTGTCCCTGGGTGAATCTAGTTTGACCACTGATATTTATGACTCTTTGATAAAATGATAATGGATACCAACTTGTAAAAAAACACCAGTTTTGGTGAAAAATCACCACACCTGGCAACCCTCACCAATTTGCAAGCCCATCGATGATGGCGTGGAAATAAGAGGTTGCGTAAGTCTGGTTGCCTATATGTTCAACTTGACGCAAATGTAAATAAAAGGAGTGTGAATAGTATGTTCTGAGAACATGCTTTGTTAGGATATCTCTTTTAGTATATTAGACTGGGTAACTAAAAGCAAAAGGCCCAACCGACCGCTCTGACCAACAACGACGAGCGGCGGATAGTCTAAACAAAAAGCTTAGAGCAATGTAGCTGTGCTTAAATGTTGTTTATTCACTATAGGAAATTGATCTGAATTTTACTACTAGCCTGTGTTGCGGAGTGAGTGCATGTAACGTTATAGTTTTTACCTCAATTTATTCGAATTGTTAATCGTCGTTTCCAGGTAAAATTCCAACATGAGAGGTGTGTACGCACTTATGTGCATGTTGTTAGTCTACCTAACTGTTGCAGTGAACCAAGCCTTTTTATGTGAGTTTATTTTCTATTACGTTGTAGCGGGAAATACGAGTAAAGGAGAAATTCGTGATTGGGCACTGTTGGTTTTAACCATGGATGCACCGAATACTACTTTTTTTAAAAGGCCGAATACTGAGTACCGGGTACACAAACGACTGTTACTCAAAATAAACAGAATACAAGTAGAACATCAACGTTAACACATAAAATGCACTGAAAAAATGAAAATATTTAAACACATTTTACATTTTAGTATTTATGTGAAATAACTAGTTTGGTAATTTTTGTATAGCTTTCATATGTTTTATTAATAGGACTCCAAAAAACTTACTTTATTTGTATTATAAAATTTCGATAGATAATATAATGATAAATCAACATTTTGTTTTTACATTCGATACCCATATCTTATATATATATATATATATATATATAAATATAAATTTTTTTCCCAAAACACTGTATTTTTAGCAGTTATTTCCCCCATTATTTCCACCGCCATCTACCATATGACGCTGACGTCTGTGGATATGTCATATATGAGAGGCGCTTGCCTGCGGTGTTGCCGGATTGGGCTCCGTATTTAGGGAAAAATATGAAAAGTGGAAAATTTATATACATTTATATTAATGGAACACAAAAACAAAAAACTGAAAAAAAGAACAGTAGTAAAATTAAAAGTAATTCTTACTAAGTATAAAACAAAAAATAACAAACAGCAGTAAAATAAAAAGCAATTCTAAGTGATTATAAAAACAAAAGATTAAAACAGTAGTAAAACAAAAAATAATTCCATTTAATTATAAAAAACAAAAAATAACAAACAGTAAAATAAAAAGCAATTTGGATGGAATGAAATTGTTCTTCATTTTGCTACTGTTTTTACTTTTTGTTTTGTCACTCAGAATTGCTTTTTATTCAACATGGAATTGTTTTTTTTTTTGTTTTACTACAGTTTTTATTTTTTGTTTTTTATAATCACTTAGAATTGCTTCTTATTTTACTGCTGTTTGTTATTTTTTGTTTTTTATAATAACATGGAATTATTTTTTGTTTTACTACTGTTTTTATTTTTTTTATAATTATTTATAGTTTAAACTCTTTTAGCTTACTACTGTTTTGTTGTTAACTTTTCATATTTTTCCCTAAATGCGCAGCCCAATCCGGCAACACCGCAGGCAAGCGCCTCTCATATATGACATATGCACAGAAGTGTACGTCATATGGCAGATAGATGGCGGTGGAAATAATGATGAAAAGAACAGCTAAAAGTACAATGTTTTGGGGCAATTTTTTCATGAAAAGCATGCTTCATCCACACTTTTTTTTTGTTTCTAAATAATCTATCAGACTACCATCTAAAAGTTTTAAGAGAAAAAACAGTGAAATCGGAAGTTCTACAAGACGCAACAGCACACATTTTTCAAATAAAAATAGTACGCGCAATTTTTCGAATTTTACCTTGAATTTGCTACAAATAATTACTCTTGTGTTTTTTCCTGGTGTACCGTTTTCGTAAAAATAAAAATGAAACAAATTAGATCATACATGAAGAGCCGAGATACAATTCGTTTCAAAATAAAAATAGGAGGAATGAAACCGACTTGACGTTTCTTGGGTTTGAATGTAGAGAATACTTAGGCAAATCCACATTTCAAATTATAGTTCATTCAGTTGACGGTTTTGACGATATTAAAAAAATGCTTTTTGCTTTAAGCACCCCGTATCTTTTTTAATGAAGCTCTCGAGGATAAAATGTTACATAGAAGACCTCCTTAAAATGCGGGGCTGCGTATGTTTCATTTTTGATCACGACTTGTGGATCACCCAGAACTAACTCTTTAGTTAATCGTCCAAAAACGTATTTCTTGGTTCAGAAACCGAAATAAATATTATTTTTCAGTTTCCGAAATGGAGGTGCAGAAAATCTGGGAATACATAGACGAAGCAGTTTTTTGCGGTTCCAATATTATTTTATGTCTTGCAATGTTCTGTGTGTATTTTGAGGTAAGTTGACTCGTCGGCATTTGTGCTTAAAAATGTCACATTCTTAGGTCACGAACCTTTAATTAGGAAATAGATTTAAAATTTTGCCCTGGCCCAGTTATTTCATTCCATGTCCCTACAGATGACGAACAAGAGCAACAAGGACTTAATTCCTGTTTGTAATTAAATGTGTTTCTCGTTCCAGGTGTTTATTTTGAACAGATTCCGTAAATATCTCGACATATTAACGTTCAGCTATTTATTCATGTGGTTGGTAAGCACGATTGCAGTGATAACGTCGAACTACTATTACTATTATGTCCACCTAGCAATCGTTATGATGACATTCCTAGCTATCATTTTATTCTCATTATGCCTAACCGCAAAGTTCTGCTCTGAGAACGATTCGAAAATGCAACAACAAAGAGCTAGTTCGGACAAAACGGCAAGAACTAGATCGGAAAGTCCAAGTTGTCGCCACGTACCTTTGCACGATGATGGCCAAAGTAAGAAGATTGGGGGAAAAACTGCAGACGAAGGTACTTCGTTCCATGGTATACGTGCCGTTAGATAGATAGCAATAAATTGCTGCTCATGTCGATCAATGTGAATGATTCAAATGTTTCAATAAAAACACTCGTATAGATTCTTGTATTTTATTTGTAGTCGTGCAAAATTTATTTACGATTTTGGAAACTTTTAGTTTCGTTATTTAGGTGTTTAATATCCCTGTCATTTCACAGCATATTCAGCATAACCATAACATACGTGACTTTTGTCACCCAATCTGAAGTTTCTCATATGAACGATATCTCATTTTCAATATTTCTCGCGATTTTCTGCATACCTGACGAAAGCAAAATTATTGTGGCTGAAGGAGAGTCACATACAAACATGCGGCCAATTAATGTACCGCCAGATGTGGAGAAGCTCTTAGAAGGAATCATATATGAACAAGTCATTGAATATATTGAAGAAAATAAGATATTGACGAACTTTCAAGCAGGATTCAGAAAAAAGTTTTCTACTGAAACAGCAATTCAAATGATAGTAGAAGAATGGAGGCGAAATATGGATGAAAAAAAGTTTACAGTAACATTATTCTTAGATTTCGACAGAGCATTTGAGACTATTGACAGGGAGAAATTGTTAACGAAATTGCATTGCTATGGATTTCAAGGTTAAGTATTCAACTTATTACAAAATTATTTAATCAATAGAAGTCAAAGAACTAAAATTGGAAATACATTGTCAAACATTAAAAACATTTCGGTAGGTGTGCCACAGGGTAGCAAATTAGGTCCATTACTATTTATTTTATATATTAACGATATTCCTGATGTTTAACAACACTGCAAAATTCAACTATTTGCAATAGAGCTGTTAAATAATGATATTAAACACGTAATAAATTGGTTAAATGTAAATAAACTTAAACTAAACACAAACAAAACAAAATATATGCGAATAGGAAAATCTTTAGATCAAAATATCTCATGGAAAACCAGAATTCATAGTGGTGAAATTTTGTATAAAAATATGTAGTCTTGAAGACTATAATTTTGGTAACCATAATCAAAACGATGGAGTGATGGTGTATGTACGAAACAATCTGCCTTATAACCATACCATATTTACAATCAACAATGAACTAAAAGGTATCAATCTAACAATGCAAATTGAAAATCGTAGAGTCAAAATTACTTGTATTTACCGACCACCATCTTCAGATCCTAATACATTTATAAGAGGCATAGATGAACTATTAAAAAACAATGAAAACAATCACCTTCATAATCAAATATTTATAGGCGACATCAATATAAACATTTTAGAGGAAAATTCTATGGTGAAAGAATATTTAAACATTTTATCAAGTAATGGTTTTTTATCATACATAAATAAAGTAACCCGACCCACCAGTAAAACCTGCATTGATCACTGCTTTATAAAGGATATTTCCAATATTTTTTCTTACATGCCTATTATCTATGAAACCGATATTACAGATCATTATTCCACTGTATTATTGATATCTTCACAAAATAAAAACCAGAACTGCCCAAAGGCAAAAAATGAAAGAAACCTTGAATACAAATATTTCACTGACAACTCAAAATTAATATTTAACGCACAAACGGAATCGTGGGACGAAATTTTTTTAACAAATTCTTTAGACGAAGCTACAAATTTATTAATACACAAAATTCAAAAAGTAATTGAAGTTAGTACTAATAAGGTTAAAATAAGTCACAAGGAAAAAAGCAGAAATGATTGGATGACTAAAGGACTAATAAAATCTGCAAACGAAAAAGAAAGACTGTATAAAATCATGAAATATTTACCCACGAAAGAAAATATAGATCATTATAATCAGTATAAAAACAAATTTATAGAACTTTTGAGAAAAGCAAAAAAGAATTACTATATAAAACAATTGAATAATAATTCACATGACTCTAGACACCTATGGTCCACTGTCAATGATATATTCAATAAGTCATCCTATTCAAAAAACAATATTAATGAAATAAAAACAAAAACAGGACAGAAAACAGACAATATTCAGCAAATATGTGATGAGTTCATAGAATTTTTCACGAATATAGGAGGAAACTTAGCAAATAATATCAAACAAAATGCTGATATTCATCTGCATGAAACAAGACTGAATAATTCATTTGTATTAACTGAAGTAGACTATCAGGATGTTTTTAATGCCATTATGACTCTAAAAAATAAAAAAGCCCTGGAGTTGACGAAATTAGAGCTGAACATCTAAAGATACTGGCCAAACAAATAACAGAACCACTTGCTTATATCATTAACAAATCCTTCCAATCTGGAGTATTTCCATCAGCTTTCAAGACAGCAATCATACCTATCTATAAATCTAATGATAATACGGACTAACTATCGACCTATTTCACTTATATCAAGTTTAGCTAAAGTTTTTGAGAAATTACTCCTTAATAAAATGATTAATTTTCTTAATAAATTCAAAATTCTAAATTCAAATCAATATGGTTTTATAGCGGGGTATTAAGTATAGTAGATGAAATAACCCAAAATATAGATGGAAAGGTACCATCGATATGCGTATTTGTGGACTTACAAAAAGCGTTTGACACAGTTAACCACAATATACTTTTGGAAATCTTAGAAAGAATAGGTTTTCGTGGAAAGATGTATACTTTAATGGAAAATTATTTATCAAATAGACCGCAATCAGTAAAATTATTAAGCTCGTATAGTAAAGAAATGTTTGTTAAATGTGGTGTTCCACAAGGTACAATTTTGGGTCCTCTGTTATTCAATATTTATTTAAACGATATATTCAAAATTAACAGTACTGGTAAAATAGTCAGTTCTGCAGACGATACTGCTATACTCTATAAAGGTAAGGATTGGAACGTCTTAAAAGATATTATCCAAAATGACTTTTGCAAAATTATTCAGTGGTTTAATAACCGAAAATTAACAATTAACTTTACTAAAACTCATTTTTTACCATTTTCATCACTATCTAATCATCTACCAAAATATAACCACCTTCGGTTTAAGGTAAATGATAAAAATATAAAAATCAATAGAGTTAATGATACAAAATATTTAGGAATTTATCTAGATCCCCACTTGAGATGGGATGTACATATTTCTCACATACTAAAGAAAATTAGATTCATAGCATATAAAATAAAATTTCTCACCGGTATATTAACTGAATATTATCTACGAATAATATATCAAGCTTTAGTCGAGCCACACATAACATATGGTATAGTAGTGTGGGGTGCTGCATGCACGACATACTTTTAACGATTTAGATGTACTTCAAAGAAGAATTTTAAAATCAATGTTAGGCAAATCAAAATTATACCCAACTAATGACTTATATAATGATGCACAAGTATATGATACTAAACAACTTTACTTCTTACATACCATCACTCATTATCACAAAACTATTAGTGAACACGACATAATTAAACATAATCACAAAACCAGATATAAATTACGCGCAAAAAATGTTCCTAAACCAAACAAATCCCTAATGAAACGATGTCACCTGTATATAGCTCCAAAATTGTACGAACATTTACCAAATAATTTAAAACAATTACGCAATGCATTAGGCTTCAAAAAAAAATTAAAAAAATTTATTAACACGATTGGAAGAAATCAAATTAATAAAATAATCTCAAATATTACACAAGAAATGCTCTACCATTCTTACCAATAATTTCTTTTTTCTCTCTATTTTATTATATTTTGCAATTCAACATACATATGATCCATGCACAGGCGTTGTCCTCCTATGGATATATTATATTTATTTACTCGTTTCATGTTCCCTGTATTTTAGAGTAAATAAATATTATTATTATAATATATTTTGTGATATACTGTGTAATATGTAGTCAGTATTTCAAAAGGGATTGTACCAATTTAATAAATTAAGTAATGATATCAAGGTTATTATTTTGGATTGCCCGTCTCAGCTTTTTCAGAAGCCTCCAGAAATTCGACCGCCTGTTCCCATATCGTGATTCGCTGATCATCGAGCAAGGTTTGTTCAATATTCGCCACAACTTCCTCGGAGATCGACAGCGTCCCGCTTCGTTGTTCATTCAATGCTTATACACGTTTCCGCAAAAACTTCACTCAACTGACGATTATTTTCTATGGGTTGTGCCCGTTTTGCGTGCCAAAAACGGATGACCACGCGAATTTCGCACCTGGCGGTGACGGCTGGTGCTGAGCGTCGCAAATAGGCGCTTCTTGTTGGGATCGGCGGTGGGAGAGCCGTCAAACACGACGGTGTTGCCAGATTTCGCCTAGCATCACGCGCGGAAAAGTTACAGCGTTGGGAACGTCATTTTCATGACGCAACCCTCATACGTATCAGATTTAAGGCAAAGTTTTTCTTTCACTTTGGAAGAGAAGTTTCGTCACTTCTTGTTCATGAAACATTAAGACTACAGCAGACGCTCGATAATGTACACTAATTTAATCCAAGTGTGGTTCACATTATCGAAATGTTTACATTAGCGAACGTGATTTATATAATATTCGATTTATTAAAAGAAACGTTTAATACATACTATTTATAACAAAATAAACAAATATTCTAACAGCGATAAGTATTTTTTTAATTAGAAGAAAAATAAGTAACAATTTTTGTCTGCGTAAATTTGCGCTTAGCATTGTCTTCCAATGCCTGCGCCCGTAATTTACGAAGAACTAAAATATCCGTGTATGAAACTTCTTTTCTTTCTGCCCAATCTAAAGCTTGGTTAAAAACTTGTATAGCTTGCACGTCAGTCACTACACTTCTGTCTTCAATGGGATCGTTCTCATCATCCTCACTGTCCATATCCTCCTTCTTATCAGCATCATTCGTCTGTTATCTTTGTTCCATAAATTAATATCAGCAGGAGTACAAACAATGTTGAGATACACTGTTTTCAATAAATCAACAACATCCAATGACACACTAATAACATTATCATTATTGGATCGCAAACGTTCTCTAATTACGCTTAAGGGGACATCGTCTTCTTCATCATCTTCATTATTGGTACAGAAGAGATTCTTCCACATTTTTGAATAGTTTGCTGGTTAAGTTCATTCCAGGCCATATGTAAATCTAAAACAGCTTCTCGTAATGTTACTTTGTTTAAAGTCTCAGATAAGTTTTCAGGATTCTTTGATAAGACAGACGAAAGTAGAAACTTCCTATAGTATAGTTTGGTGAGTGTTATTATATTGTGGTCCATCGGTTGAATTAACGGTGTTACGTTGGGCGGCATGTACATGACGAAAATTGACCCATCCCTGCTCCTCAGTTCTTGCTCGGGAGGATGACTTGGTGCATTATTCAATAGTAACAACGCTTTTATTGGAAGCTTCTGTTGTTTTAGGAAACCTTTTACCTACAAATTGAAAATACATCTTCAAATTATGAATAGAGCATTTGTGATAATTGATTGTCATACCTGAGAAAAAAAGCACCTGTGGAACCATTTCAGGAATATACTGCTAGTCATCCAAGCGGTTTTTGAACAGTCATAATCAACAGGGATATTAACATTTTTAAATGAGCGCGGATTTTTTGCTTTCCCAATTACCAGTGGCTTTATTTTGTGTGAACCATTAGCATTACTGCAGGCTAGAAACGTTATTCATTGTTTCTCCGGCTTTCTTCCCGGGGCGCATTTTAACACTATGGTATAGGATTCGGCACCAGCCTTAATTTTATTGGTCAATTTCAATTGATTTAACCAATAACAAGCTGGGTGCCGAAATCACTACCGGAATGTTAAACAGTGCTGAAAACAGTGTCAGAATGCTATCAATTTAAACTGATTCTACTAATATATATATATATATATATATATATATATATATATATATATATATATATACCACGTCTCAAGTTATATATATATATATATAACTTGAGACGTGGTCATTGTCGTCTATACCAGTTAGGTGAAAAATTAAAGCTTCCTCCTTTTGTTGGGTACTTCGACGAGATTTAAGCAAGGAGGACTCTTTACTTTTTTATTCTCTCTAGCTTTCAATGGTCTTTGCCACCATCATCAGGAGAGTAGTATGTGAGGATGTTGCTAATTGTTGTTTACGTTAGGGCCCACCATTTTGTGCAATCATCAAGTGGCTTCACGATGTAATGTTTAACTTTCAATTTCTAAAAAATTTTTTTATCTGTTTTTAACTTGTTCTTGTCATACAGCTGTGTGAATTTTATATAATTTTGACCATTGTACCATTTAACCAGCTTTCACCATGTTACTGGGTGTTTCCCTCATTCTTAACGTAAACAACAATTAGCAACATCCTCACATACTACTCTCCTGATGATGATGACAAAGACCATTGGAAGCTAGAGAGAATAAAAAAAGTATAAAGAGTCCTCCTTGCTTAAATTTTGTCGAAGTACCCAACAAAAGGCGGAAGCTTTAATTTTTCACCTATATAAATATATATAAATTTTCCATGTAATTTTTCTAATTGCTAAACCAAATTATTAGTTTTAAAATCATTAAATATCGTAATAGGAAACAATGTGCGATGATTATTATCTTACGTATTTTTAGCGGAAGGTAAGTAAATTTAAATTGATAACATTCTGACCCCATGCTCAGCACTGTTTAACATTCCGGTAGTGATTTCGGCACCCGGCTTGTTATTGGTTGAATAAATTGAAATTGACCAATAAAATTAAGGCTGGTGCCGAATTCTATACCATAGTATTAAAATGCTCCCGGGGCAGATTTTTCAAATGATGCAGCATAGGTTTTCCCTGGTAACATTTTCCAATAAAGGCCACTTTCATCTGCGTTGTAAATTTGTTCCATTCTTAAATCTAGCTCGGTAATTGTTTTCATCAATTTTTCTTTGAATGGTTGCACTAATTGTGGTTGTGCTGATAATTTTTCACCAGATATAGACAGCAGTCGAATTCCATATCTTGTTTTGAATCGTTGTAGCCAGCCAGCACTAGCTACGAAATTTTCAGTTTCTTTCAGTTTATCATTTAACAGTCTCGCTCTCTGTTTAAGTACTTCGCCACTAACTGGGACATGATTTTCCCGTTGTTTTAAAAACCACTTATACAGGGAATTTTCCATTTTAGGTGCCTTCGCATTTTTTAAAGTTTTTCTTTTTCCCGGACCTCCAAATGTATTGCACGTTCTTCGTAAAATTTGAGTTTTCATACGCTTAATTTTACAGATTTTTGCTTTCGATACTCCATATTTTTTTGCTAACTGTGTCACTCCCGCACCTAGTGCAACTTCGTCTATGATTTTCACTTTCTCACTCAACTTTAAACACTTTCTTTTATAGGATGTGGATGCCATAGTCGTAAAATATATTAACGCGTGCAATGTATTCACTTAAGTTCATCAATGAAATACATACGTACGTATAAACGTATCCTAAACGATCATACGACTGACCGAGTTTGTCGTATTTTTTCGCAGAGGTGAATCCCCTACACTGTACATCATAAATCGGGGACTCCCCGACGCCCGACATAAATCATCGAGGCTTCAGCATTTTACCGTCGCGCTGTTTCCGTGCGCCGTTATCGAGCGTACACATTGTTTACGTTATCGCGCGTTCCGTTTGATCCTATAGAACGAAGTTTGTGTTTACATTAGCGCAAGTTTTCATTATCCCGTGTTTACGTTATCGAGCGTCTGCTGTATTGTCACGATTGTGACATGGGCGGCAAGCAAATATATAAAAGTGTATTAACAAAACGCCGCACAATAAAAGTACAATAAAATGAAACAGGTACTTACTTTTTGGCCCAGGAAGGTCCAGTCCGACGAAGAGAGATCCTCCCAGCGGCACGAATCCCAGTTTTTATAAACCGATAGAACCCCCACCGACGGCGAATAATACAGCTCTACACATTCTGCATTATTTGCCGACGACGAGCACATTTCGCAGAGGACGCGGTTTAGGGTATCTATGGATCTATACGGCGCATGTAAGGGTGATCACTCGTGGCAATATCTTTTTTTGGAAACAAAATGTTGAAAGATTTTTGGATTTTTGTATTTATATTTGATATCAAGATGTTTCTTCAATCTACAAAAGTTGATGACCTTTCGTGAAAGTCGCGTGGTTGGTCGAAGTTGTTACAGGACAATGGGTCGTTTAAATAAAAGCCAAGAAAATGTTTCAACCGTTTTTGGTCAACAAAATATATTCATATATAAAAATGAACTTGAACACTGGGAATATTATAAAACCTTCCCGTACTTAGTTCAAAATATCACAAGACAGAAATGGATTAAAAACGAAAGTGTAAACCATTTGTACAATATAATAACTCGAGCGTTTTTAGAGCAATAACAATTAAATGCACTCTGTTCTCTGTATGCTGTACAGATGTGACTATAAACTTGTCAGTACGTCGGTACCTAATGAAATGAATCATCCCTACCCTGTTTTCAGTCGTTTCGCAACTAATCTGTCATAACGAAAACCAGTAAAGTAGCAAAAAAAGACTTCATCTCAGGTCCAGAACTCGCATTCCACTATTTGCACTATTTAATGTTACAAAAAAGGCTACTTCTACGAACTCTTTCCTTCTGTCTCCTTAGTCGTTGGCGACTTGGGTTCTTTCTTTGCTTGCTCTAGCTTCTTTTCTGTCTGATTTTTAGTTGTTTCAGGCTCATCTGTAATCTCTCTGATTTCAACAGTCGAGCCCTCAATTGATTTGGGAACTATGGGTATATAAGAGTCTTCTTTTTCGGAATGGTATATACTTTTTGATTCCTTTCTTTCCTGTTCTGACTGCCACTCAACCTAGAAAAAATGGCATCAAGTAAGTTAACTATGCACTTTCCATGCAACGCTGTCGTCAGTTAGCAAATGAACAAGTTAGCCCTCAGGATAGAACATGTACAGGGTGGCCAAACCAAAAGGTCACACCCCCAAAAGTAAAGTTTTTAGTAAGAAGCCAGATTCCATTCAAGATCTTCGTCAGCGAATTACAGCTGAATATAGACAAATAACTAAGACATGCTTGAAAATGTGAGGAACAGATTCGAACAAAATATTCACTAACGCTCTAAAAATGAATATTTCAGCCGCAGTAAAGAATCAACGTTGGCGGAGACGGAGACCTGTACGATTTCGTCAACTTAGTGAGTTTGATAGGGGCCGTATAGTGGGACTTCGGGAAGCTGGACTTTCGATTCGGGCAATTGCAGTTAGAGTGCAAAGAAGTGTAGACACTGTGGTTAGGTGTTGTCAGGCATGGCTTCGAGAAGGCCGTACGCAAAGAGCAAGCGGCACTGGACGCCGCCGTAGAACAACAGACCGTGAAGATCGCCGCCTAAGATTATTGGCCTTAAGGGACCGTTTCTCCACTACCAGGTCCATTGCAAATGAATGGTTTGCAGAACACGGAAGACCTATTGGCATGCGAAGTGTTTACCGACGAATGAGATGTTTTGGCTTGTTTTCATACCGGCCACACTGGGTCCTCACTTTAACTCGAGAACACCGACGTAATCGCCTTGAGTGGTGCAGACAACGGACACTCTGGGATCAGGAATGGAACAGTATTGTCTTTAGTGACGAGTCTCGACATGAACGCGCAGCGTTATATCCACGAAGTTCTAGAACCCCATCTTTTACCCTATCTTGACACCCCGGCAGATCCAACTTTCCAACAAGATAATGCCCGACCACATGTTGCAAGAGTCACAATAGACTTCTTTCAACATAATGATGTCACATTGTTACCATGGCCACCAAGATCTCCCGACTTATCCCCAATTGAGCACGTGTGGGATATGATGGGTAGGGGATTGCTCAATTTGCAACGTCCTCCTCAGACTCTAGAAGCACTTCGAGAGGAGTTGGTGGTTGCCTGGAATGAGATACCACAGGAGGACATTGACCACCTGATCAGAAGCATGCCTAGGCGCGTTGGAGAATGCGTAGCACATCAGGGTGCATCCACACATTATTAAAGGTCAAAGAGCTTTAAAGCAGTGCAATCATTTTGAAATTTTTATCATTTACTTATTATGCTTCATTAAGTACTTATACAAAATTTTATTAAAATAAAACCATTTAAACTGGGTGTTCGGATTTATATGTCACTTAGTATATTTATTATTGCATTGAGGTAAATGGACACTACTTTCAGCTCTTCAATGAGGGTGTACACTGTAGGTTTTTTTGTCTTTCTAATACTCGAAAATTTCGTTGATAAAGTCTTGTCATTATTGCGATGTAGTCCCTAAAGCAATATCTTATTTTTGGATCACCCTGTATTGTATGGCTATAGATGGAAAGACGTCCTCCTAGAAATCAAAATTGAAGTGTCCGAGCGTTTTCCCCAAAATATACCAGTGCGATATTTTCGTTGGACGACCTTGTATTAAATTAAAAAATCCCGCGATAAAAAATCCTGCGGCGCACATGATCGTTGCTATGACGATATTCACTTTTACAGAATACAGCTCGCCGCAGCACGCAGTGTTGCCAGGTCTGGTGGCAAATTCAACACATCTGGTGATTGGTGAAAAACATTAAAAAATGGCAATTTCTGGTGATTTTCAAGATGTCAAACATTTTTTTCGGTTACAACTAGCTTAATTCCTGGTGATGGGATGCATGATGATTAGGTCAAAAGCTACGACATCGAATCCGGGCGTCACGCGCCCTGTTGGTAATCCTTGATGTTTGTTTATAAATCAGATTTGAGAAAGAAAAACCTAAATCACATATTACTATAGCAATACAAAAAAAGTGTCGTTTTCCTGAAAATTTTCTTCCGGTGTCGCACGAGTTTACAACCAGACCATTTGCAGGACCGTTGAGGTGGGAATCTAGACTGCCCGAAAGTTGCAAACTGAGTGAGAAATTGACAACAATTTTTACTTGAACGGCACAAACTTCATTTTTTTTCAAATGAACGAATACGATACAGATTTGTAGCATATGTTATACTTTTTGGTCATTAAATGGAAGTCATCTTTATTTCTGGTATTATGTAAATGATGGTCGACATTTGATGATGTTAAATTAGTTAGACTTGATGGGAATATATTATTTTTTACTTTATAAATGAATATCATTACAAGATATTTAATAACATTTTTTACATTGAGCCATTTTAATTTGCTAAGCATTTGCCTAATTGGAGTATATTTATCTTTATTTAGTATTATTCTCATGCACTTATTTTGTAAAATTTGCAGACTTTCAAAAATGGAATTATTTGCTAAATATAGAATAGTCGAACAGTACAAGAAATTTGGAAGAATGATGGTATTATAGATAATTTTTCTGCTACGAGTATATGAACTCAGACATCCAGAAACTCTCGATAAATATCCCACTTTACTACTAATCTTATTTATAACTTTTTCATAATGAATATCAAAAATTAATCGAGAGTCAACAAAAACCCCCAGGTATTTAAAATTTTCTACGAATTCAATATCTTCACCATCAATATTCAGTTGAACATTTGTACATTGTTTTTTTCCGATTAACAAGGCTTTCGTATTACTTGCATTTAATTTTAGTCTGTTAGATGCTAACCATTTTGAGACAAGCTTCAACTCTTCATTTATATAAGAGATACCAGACTGAATATTTTTTTTCTCCAATTCTCAGTTACCAACTGGAAAGCCGTTTCTGTGGAATATTTTTTTCGAAAGCCTGCTCGCGCCTCCAATAAAATTTTGTTTTCTTCTATAAACTGCATTAATTGGTCATGCACTGTGGACTCTAATAATTTTTCAATGTCTGGTAACACATTTACTGGTCTCATATCGCTGCATCTTTTAGAATTTTTTATTTTGGGAACTGGTGTTATTGTAGAGCATTTCAAATTTTCAGGGAAAGAACTGCTTCTCAGTGAACAATTGATCCAATTTAATACATTTCGAAACAGTTTTTCAGCACGTTTTTAGTAGTGATTTCGGCACAGTTGTTATTTGATTTTAAACTGTTTACCGTTTTTCTTAGATAATTCAATGATACGCTGTGAAATTTTGAAAGTGTATGCAAAAAAGGAAAGTCGCATCTTTTACGGGAATAATATTTTCTTGCACCTACCTTTTGCCTATGTTGTTTGACATGATCTTGCACTTTATCCAGCACCATTTTCTCAGTCAAAATGCCGTCTGGTGAAGCGTACGCCGCAGCCTGCCAAGCTACTCCTAACTTAGCGATTTCCCTGCCAGACATCCCTTCTGTCATTTGAGCAATTTTAGAACAGATGGCACTGTAGTCGAAGTTGTCCACCTTCAGCCTCCTGAAATACGAATAATTTCGGGTTTGTCAGATCAGCCTACTTTGCGGACCTCCAGAAAAAGTATTCGGAGTCGGAGCATCGCTGGGTCAAGTGTATTAGCTAAAAGGAGACTACGTTGAGAAATCAACCGCCGCTTTTCCAAAATTTTGTTTTTCTTATGTATGGTCAGTACTTATCGCACCACCCTCGTAATTAATGGAAAGCGGCTGGTTTGGTTCAAAGAGCGGGGAGATGCTTTACATCCTCAACAAACTGTCAAAGTAAAAACCCCCAGATTTGGGAAAAATCCCGAAAGACGGCAACGCTGTCAAAGCACCACTGTTACTCCATGCGACAAGTTACGGGGTCGTTTTTAACAGCATTGCCATATTTTCCCCTGGTGCGTTTATGAAGTCACCTAACTTAACCTAACCGCGAGTTAAGTTAGATTAAATTGTGTTAGGTTAAATTAAGTGACCAGGGTATTAGGTTAGGTTGATTTTACAAGCGCTCGAGAATATAGTCGTAAGTAAGGTAAAAAGCACAGGATACAAACATTGTAGAAATAGAAGCATCACCTACCTTTTGCCTTCCGCTGCAGGTTCCAGAACGAATTTCTGGAAGTACATTCTGATCAATCGTTCTCGCTCTTCTAAGCCGGGCAACTGGAATTCCACCATTTCGTCCAATCTGTCATTCACGGCCCAATCGAACTGTTCGGGTGTGTTCGATGCTAGTACCAGCATAAATTTGTTACTCTGCTCTCCAGTACGGTATAAGAACGCATTTAGCGTGGCTCGCAAGTCTTCCGAAATGTTTTCCGAAGAACGCTTCCTCAAAAAGGCGTCCGCTTCGTCAACGAATAACAGCAGACCTACAAAGAATGCAAAATAGAGATTAGAATGTCTATCACCTTTCCTAGTTCCTCAAATCCGACGTAATTAAGAAATGCCTTATTGATGATATACTAATAAATGTATAAATGTACTAAAATTTAAAATATATCGATTTGTGTATGTTGCATTATATTTGTGTTATCAATAAATATATTGTGCACTTGGGAGACTTCAGTATAAATTTTGATAATCAAGATTTTTTTATACAAATATTTAAACAGACAGGTGCTGAAGTTTCATGTTTATGGCAAAGAAGTACAAACTTTTCACGAACTAAGATAGATTTAATAATAACCAATGGACAAGGTAGTAAACTAGGTCCACTACTATTTATTTTATACATTAATGACATTTGTAATATTTTTGATTATTCTAAACCTCAGATATTTGCAGATGACACATTAATATACATATCAGATGAAAATATAGACACTGCTTTAAAATGCTAAATTCTCGTAAATTGGTTAAATGTAAATAAACTAAAATTGAATACTTCTAAAACAAAATGTATGCTAATAGGGAAATACCTAAATGAAAATACTAGCACAGTTAGGATAAATGGAGAAATGATTGAAAATGTTGAATCAATTAAATATTTAGGTATATATATATATATATTGATTACATATATATATATATATATATATATATATATATTGATTACACATATATATATATATATATATATTGATTACATATATATATATATATTGATTATATATATATATATGTAGATTCTGATGGATCGGTCCTCCACTCATGGGCTTTTTAGAGTCGATAGGTCCTCCGCTCTGATAGGTCCTCCGTATAAGGAGGACCTATCGCAAATTCCACCTATCGGCCCCTCAGGCCCCCCCTCTGTCACCTGGCAAAATTTCAGAGGGATGACCTAGATCATGTTTTTCGCC